TTTCTTACTTTCCTTTTTCTTTTGTTTTTTGGTTTTCTCTTTTACTCTTGTAACTCAAAAAAAAAAATGACAGTAGAGAAGTCATGTATATATATATATATATATATATATATATATATATATATATATATATATATGATTTGTAGTGTCAAAATTTTAATGTTTTAGTAATGAAACAATAAAAATATTATGTATCAACTTTTCATTATTCCAAAATATTTTGATTCTTCACTCTTCTTTTTTTTCCCCTTTTATTTTTCCTCTTCTTAGATAAACTTATGTAAAACTTATTTTATAATTTTTTATTTCATCATCTCTCTTCACTTTCTTTCCCATTTCAAATATATTATAAATACTTTAAAGAATTAATCCATAAATTTTCGTTAAAAGATATTCTAGTTTAGCAAAGGAAAATATACTATAAATTCTGAAACCTCTTGACATGTGCATAATTAATTTCCACCATCACTTGATATGATATTCTATCAATTATGTAGAATTTCTTCCGTATATGTAGAAATTAAAATATTTTCAAAGGTATCAAATATAAAGACAAAATTTATTAAAACTTTGGAAAACAGTAAAGGTTACTGTATAAATGTTTTTTTTTTAATTAAAAGACTAAATTATAAAGTTTTTTTTCCAAATAAGACCCAGGGTGAAAAATTATTTCAGGTATACCGTATACGACATAATTTTTTAATGCAGTCATTTGGTATATAAACTATATATTTTCAAGTGCAGTGATCAAATCCAATACATTTATTGGGTGTATACACGGTACCAGATATCAGGAATAAAAATGATGTATCAATACTTACACTAAGCTATAATTCTTTGGAATTATATTAGTATTTGCAAGTTGCCCACCAAGTTGGCACTTTGGGTCTACCTGAAAGCGAATTAATGCGGATGACGTTGTCACACTATAATTTGCTGCTCTAAGATTCCCTTATATAATGTTTGGCTTGAACGAGTGACCAATTAATTTAGTTATCTTATTATTTTTTTAGACATGCAATTGCAACATTTGAATTGTTGAATGGCTATGTTATCTGTATCCAATTTCTGTTTGCACGCAAGGCCAAACCAGACCTGACCATGAGTCTTTTCTCCTGGACCCCGAAATATGGCCCTTCAAATCATTTTAAAGTCACTTCTTCTGTTCCAAATTCCAGCTCCACATGTTTATATTTTCTATATTCTATTTTTATTGTATTGCCTCTACTCTACATCACCACTGTCGGATGTATAAATAAAGGTACCAGGTTCTTACTTCCTTCCAAGTTGCCACACAACAACAGTTACTAACACATGATCCAGATTTATGTCATTGATTTAATATTCTGTTTTCTATAGAACATTGCATATGCTCAATTATGAAAAAATATATATTATTAGGGTGTATCTAATAAAATAGTTAGAATAATATAAACAGTGTCTTAAGTTTAGGATTTACTCTAATGGATAAAAAAATTACAAAAAATGCTTTAAAAATTTAAATAATTTTTGGGTTATTCAAATTAGAAGAATGTGAATAAAAAGTGTGAATGTTGTGTAAATTCTCTTAGTTCTATAAAAAAAAATTCAAAAGAATGTGTATTATGAAATTAGCTTAATGATAATAGTTAAAAAAATATGTATAAGGTTAGAAATTCGAATCTAAATATTATTCTTATAATTTTTATTAATAAAAAGAATTAGAAGAATGTTATTAATATATTGTTCTAATTTTTTTTAACATTTTTTAATCAATTTTTTTTTGTTTCATCTCATTCAATAAGTTTTTTTTTAGTAATATGATTCATTAAAATTTATAATTTTCAATTAATAATAAAAAATTAAAACATGAAAATATTAAATAAAATATAAATAATATTTTTTAAAATTATTATAATAGATGAATACTTCACATGAATGATTAAAAAAATTAGTTAACCATAATCTCGTGATTGGCAAAGTTTCTCATCTGTTTCTGTTCCGATCTGTGACTCCGCATCATCAGTTATGGCTGTTTAACCAGCATCATTACAGGTTAAACCTAGGCGTGGGACTAATATTGGGACTAGTTTTCGTGTGTCCTCTCACCACATCATTATTTCCTTTTGGTGTTGCCCAACCCTCATTATATCTTCAGCTAGTGATAATGATAGGAACAGATGAAAAGAGAAACTTGAGTACATTCATAAGTAACATCCACCAGAAAAATTAACCCTATTAACATACTATTCTAAGTTTGTAGATGCGTGCTCGCTGAGCAATGTGGGATTATATCCATTTGTGGCTTCACAACTTGGCATCAACTGTTGTTATTGGTGACCACTGACCACCCATAAGCGATTTAATTTGGTCCCATTTCATTCCAATTTCTAACCTCCCTTAAAAGGTAGCAAAACTCTTTCTCTTTTCTCTTTTTTCCATTCATATCAGCGTATGGTACTAGTGAGGTGTACTTTGTTTTTGCATTCATCTTATCACATTTTCGTCTTTCCTAAAGCACTTAAAAAGTTAAACAACGTCACAATAGTATAATGTTTAATACATAGTCCTGTATTCGTTTACAAATTCCAGTAAAAGTATAGTAAGCCTGCACATTATTATTATAAGACTGTCCAATTTACTTATCACAATACACAGTTACATTTTCAACAATTGTTTTTCTTGACAAAAAAAAAAAAAGAATCTCACTTTTTTTCAGCTCAAAACTAAGAAAATATTATCTGAAATAACTTAAAATTTTTACAAAACCCAGTTAGTTGAGTCAGGAGTTGTTATAATATTTTAAGTTAAGAATTCGATTTCTATGAATAAAAATAAAAGTTAACTTAAACTGAAAAACAATGATTCCTTTTTAAAGGTTCATTCATTGCACGGTTTTTCTATACAAAGTACAACCTTATCCCTAGTGGTTGGAAGAGTTTCCGAAACTTCCTGTTATCACTCGACTCGTGTTTGGGTAAATATTCATAAATTGAACTAGTCCAGATCTTTCGAACGGTAAATATTTTATGCAAGTGTTGATCATGAATGATATGTCTTTTAAAAGCTGAATTTATTTATTTGAATTTTTATTATGCTTATTCATTTTTATAGTTAATATATTAAATAGTTAATAATTTATTTCTTTATTTAATTTAGTTAATATTTTATACAAGTGGCAAATCGAATTGCCCTCCCCGATCTCGAAGCAAGTTAGCCCGAATTTCTTACAGACTGTAAATTTGTAGGCCCAGCTTGACCTTATGTCGGCCAACAAGGACTTATTGACCTTAATTAAAAATAAAATAATATAAAGCATATTTAATATACAAAATTTTAAGAAACATAGATAACTTTACAATTATTTTTTTTAAAAAAAATAGATATTTCTATACAAACTAGCCTAATGTATTTTTGGCATGCACTTATGAGTCTAGCCAGGTCCATTAGGCTGGGCCAAGTTTTTCAAGTGAAAATTTTAGGAGTTTAGTCCAACTTTATATTTATGAGCTTTTGGATCGGGATTAATTTCTTATTTATGATCACGGACAATGGTTACAACAAATAACATTACGAAATGGACTACCAAGCCCATTATAGTCTTAAAAAGCATATGAATTGCAAAAGGATATCCCCTTTGATGTATGACACCTTTCCGTTCCTGAAACATTGTCAAAATCCCTTGATAATCCTATGAATTTACTTTCTTGTTTTTATAGCGTTTTTCTTTTAATGCTGTTATGCTTCTTTTTTTTTTTTTTTCTTCAAATAATTATTTTAGTTCTTGAAAGTGTATAACACACAATAGTTCGTGAACTTATTTAAGAAATTTTTTAATAGACTAAGTATATTTTTTTGTCTCTGAAAAATTATAAAGTTTTGTTTAGTTTTTATAAAATTACTCTTTGGTTTTCATTTTTAAAATCATAGTTTTTAATATCTACCATGTACTTATTAATTGCATATTTGTTCAATTGAAAGTCAAATGACTATTTTAATATGTGATACTCCCTAGTGTTTGCAACATAATGTTAGCACTTTTACATTTAAAAAAATAATATCTTAATCACTAAGATAAATATTTTTTATTTATTTTGAAACAATTATTAGAAATTAAAAATAGTGTTTTAGATTTTAAAAAATAAAAATTAAAGAAAAATATTCTAAAGAAAATAAAACAAAAAATTATCATTTTACCTTAATAAAAAATAAAGATTTCAAATTTTAAAAGAAGAAAAAATTAGGATAACTTATAATAAAAACTTGTTAATTTTATACGGAAAAATATTTTAATATTTTAAAAATAAGACTCTAAAAGTGTAACCTGTCAATTACGTTGAAATGCATACATGTGCATTTTTCTTTTTGGGGTACAAGACTTTAATGCGAAACAGTGCGACTACATGCTTTGTCTCAGCTACCCTAGCAATAAACTTTTGGACTTTTGCATGATTTGGTTGAATTTTGATTTTGATTGCGGATACAAAACTTTAATGCACAACAGTGCAACCCATTTTATTTATGATTTGATTTTGGTGCTTGGGTATGATGGACTGTATGATATATGTTTCACAAGTCATACATGCAAAAACACACAATGTTACTCATTGGGTTTCAAATAAAGTAAGAGTGGGATTTGTGGGTTGGTTCTATAAATAGTATGGTCTTGCATCTTATCTGAGATGTTTGAAGTTTATGTAATTGCTCGTGTCATTGCATAATAGTGCAAGCAGAATATAGTAATAACTAATAGTCCTTTACACCATATTGCGAATTAAGCCATGAGGTAGATAAACTAGCAGCCTAGCAGGAATTCAAGTAAGCAAAATATTTATGAGTACCCTAATTATGTCCAAATAGTTTATCCCCTTAATCTTTGGATACTTTTGGAGACTAATGAGTTTTTATATATGATATGATCAAGGTTACTTCGTTCACCAAATCACTTGGGGTGCTTTTTACTGATTTTTAGTAGGGTATTAACATGTGAAAAATTTGAGAGAAAACAAAAATTAACAAAAAAAGAGAACCAGACAAATCACGATGCCATTCGAGAAATTAACTTGTTTGGGTGCTTATTATGACATAAGGAAAGGTAATATACATAACGAATTCCCCTGATTTGATAATATTCTCCTCCTTAACATGTGCAACGTTTGTCGTAAACTAAATTAAATGACTGAACAATCGGTACGAATGTTTCCATTCTGAGCATTCTTGATACCAACTCGGCCCAATTTGGTCATGGCAGCAGCGAAGTTGGCATGAAAGATTTTGCTGCTACTAGCAAAGGCATTTACTGTGGGCTTGGACCTTGGGTCCGAGAAGAGGACTTGGTCTGAGGAGAATAGGCCCTTCCCTTGCTGAAGATTCTTGAAATAAACATGGTCGAATGACCGTGGCGTTGCTGGGTCCATATCGATCGCGATCCTTGGATCCACATTCCTTGGACACATTGATCTTAGCTCTGATGCGTATTTCTCGTTCAATGTAGGGTCCACTCGACTTTTGTTCTTGAAATTGTATACTCTCTTCGAGAATTTGTTGCAATGCGAGAATCCAACGGTGTGGGCTCCTGTAAAGCGAATGAATTATCCAAATAATTCAAACTGTAGTTTCGCTTCATGTTTCTTTCCGGAAAGTATATTTATTTTGCATTATACGTTTAAAATGATGCATCAGAAAATGTAATACTAGTAAGATTTGATTAGTGAGAGACTGAGTGTTAAAACATAATGGATCAAATTTAAATTTAAATTTACCCGTGACATTGAAACTCAATAATGGGATCATAGATCACGTGGGAAGATTTCAATTATTTGGGTGGCACTTTTTTTTATTGGAAAATGCATAGCACGCGCATTAGTATTACATTACCTGATAGGGCTATCATTTCCGTTTGGGTGAGACCGTTGGCCGCAAACAGTGAATTAAGCTGATTCAAGTTGAACTCTGGCTGAGGCAGCCTCCCGTTCACATCAGAAGCTTTAGATCTTAGCCCATCAAATCTTCCCAATTCAACTTGGTAGAAAGGCCCACCAGCCTGAACATGCAATTAATTGCATTATAATTCAATTAACTTCCTAATTAGTCACGCCTATATATGGTTTTAATTAATTGCGGTTCAACCAAACAAATCAAATGTTTTTCATAAGAATTAGAGACATAGTAATGGTAACCAACCAGTGCAATAACATCCCGGGTTGCCATGGCTAGAATATCAGCACATGAAACTTTGTTCCTGCAGAGTGGAACTGCATCCACTGCTGCTTTTGCTTTAATCACCGTGTCAAACCCATCTCCAGCGAGTGAAAGATTATCAGGGTGATCCTTCTCTGCTTTGTTGTTTCCCGTCGATGAAACCAAAACCGAGGCATCACAACCCTGTATAATATATAGAATTTTCTTTTATTTTTCTTTTCAGCATTTATAAATCAAATTGAAATGCATGCAATTAATTGATTACCTGCACGAAGCAATCATGGAAGAAGAGACGAATGGTAGCAGGAACCGTGACAAAGGTTTGATGAAACTTCTTTTTGACTGCTTCTCTGACGATGTTCTCGACATTGGGGCATGTTTTGGCATAGTGGTGTCGACTAAGCTGGGCCGAAGTAGGACACGGATAAAGGCAAAGACCCAAGAAGAATAGACAGACAAGTAGTGTAAGGTTAAGCTGAGCCATTTGCTGTTTTTTCAGGTAAAGGAGGACACTCCAAAATGCAGAGTGGGAGTGAGAGTGAATGATGGCTTAAATGGAAAAGTGCAAGAGGGTGAGGCGAAAATATGTCAGTACATTACTACTATACAAGCTATGAAATTGTCGGGGTCACGAGCCAGTTGTATTAGAATCTTTTAAACTATTTTTACAGCAAGAAAGTGAATTTTGAATAATAATAGAAGAATGATGCAGTTTGAAAGGGACACTAATAATTATGGCCAAAAAGAAAGAGACCGACACTAGTGAGGTTGGTTCTGTGGGTTTCGATTATATATGGACAAGGATGCTATAATTTTAATATTTTCCATTAAGACTGGGGAGGGACCTGGTTTATTTGATTCCGAAGTTCCGAAGTTCCAAAAATTTGTGGACCAAAGTTGGTAAAGTGAGAGCAGGGTACACTAACAAAAGTGACTGAGCAGGGGCTGCCAACGTTTAGCACAACAACGATGAGGAGTGACATGCACGTTAAGCTTACTTTCCTAACTTGCCCTCCCCGAGTAACAGAAAGGAAGTGTACTAACCAGTTTGGTTGCTGGTTGCTGGTTGCTTGGGGGGTCCTAGATGCCAATGCTATGTTTGGTTACACATTCAGTAACACAAAATGTCATCTTTTTTGGGTGAACACTGAACAGGTATTTCTTCAAGCGAAGGGAATTACGAATCTCGAGTAACTTTGATATATTTAAGGTTTTGAACTCTCATAAGATCATGTGCTACATGAAAATTATCACCGACATAGTATTTTTTTTTTTTTACTCAATTACTCTTTTTATTCTTCATTTTATTCAATTTAATCTTTTATTATAAACAAAAATCAATTTAGTTCCTTATTTTTTTTTTTTAAATCTAATATGGTTATACAACTCAGACCGATGACGTTAATTTTTTATACACGTCATACAATAATGATGTTAATTTTTATACACGTCATAAAGTAAAAAAAAATGACACAATTCTTCACTTGAACAAAAGTTTAACATTGTTAATTCCAATTGGATGAAAAGGGTTACATGACATATTTTTTAAAAATTTAGAAATCAAATTAAACATTTTAATAATAAAAAATATCATATTAAATTAATTGAATAAAATATGAAAAAAATATTAATAATTCACCTTTTTTTATATACTCATGATATTAATATGAAATATCTACTAAGTTTAATTAATATAGTCCAATTTTTTTCTTTATGAAAATTAAATAAAAACAAGGGGGGAAAAACATAAAATGTGTCAATTTGACATGTTGTGATATATCAACAAGTTAAACTTGGCTATCTTTTATTAATTGAATTAATACAAGTTTATAACATTACCACATATTCAATATTATCAACATATAACATTACAACACAACCAATACTATCAATATAAACAACCCAACCTATTACAACATTAGATCAACTTGAACATCACTACATCAACAACTCAGGTTTTTCAACACAACAACAAAGTATGTACAATACAACAACTATATGTATTGTCATATATCAATTAGAAGATCCCTTTCAACACAAATGAACAATTTAAACGGTTTGATCCTATCTAACCATCAACACAAGGTGATCTTTTTAGGACTTCTAGATCAACAACAAATTTGGGTATCAATCCACTTAAACTATGAAGTTTAGTACTATTATTAGGGTAAAACAACTTATGTATGGATCTACTATGGTATTAATTAGCTTAATTAAGTCTCCTGTGAGATTAGTCCATCAATTACCCTTCAAATACTACGCCCTTTTCGATACTCAATTAGGAACTAAGTTTCTAACTTTGTACTTTACTCAATTGATCACTTGTAATTGGTATAGCTCAACCTTACCCTTATACTATGGTCACTTTATACATGTATACATGGACCTTCCCACATATAGTACTAACTAAGGTCCTAGAGGAAACTTAATTATCCTTTCCAATGGTCAACTTGTCAATAAGGGTTTTCAACAAAATTAGATTCTCGAAACACCACAACACGATATCCACACAATGAAACATGCAATTTTAAAGAAATAATCTTGCCTCTAGTTTTAAGTTGATTAACGCAACTCAACAATACCATACGTAAATGTTTAAAGCATTCTCAACATTCATCATATTAGCAACATAACAACATACTTGCTTAAAACATATTCAATACAAATACACCAACACACGACATGCAACTAAACTCATTTTCAACTCTCAGTCATCAATCATTTCTAATTATCATCATATATTAACATATTATGATAATAAATGTTTAACAACTTAAAACTTCCACTAGTCTATTCAAACCTATTCATGTCCTTAAGCTCATACTATAAACAACAAGAATTTTAATAAACAACCAACACCTGGTGCCACACTTCCAACACTCAATGTCATCGAGGCTAGGGACGTTCCACCTTGCCCATGTTTGGTGCCACAATTTGCACTCAGCAAAGATTAGGTAGAGGCCCTTAGGACCTCAGGCTCGACATGGTGAAGTCCTACATCCAACCCCAAGCTAACCTGAGATGATTCTCTCTCCTCATTTTTATGCCACCAATCCTACATCTAGTTTGAGTGAGATAAAAAACCTCGTGTTGAATCGGTGTCCGATGCCATGAAGGTGCACTTGGCGCAATGAGTGTTTTGCACCATTACAAAACACGAATCTGTCTCAAAGGACTTGAAACTTAGCAAATTCATAACATGCAGCGCAAGATATCATGTATTTACATCATCCACAACTCAATTTCAACTATAATATCCACATGCAACCAACTACATAATCAAATCATGAAATTTTCTCAACATGCTTCATAAGAAACAAAGACCTCAACCATTCAATCTCATCCCAAGCAACACAACAACGATTTAAAGGAAGAATCACAACATGCAACTCAAACACCCCACAATAAATGCATTCTAACTTCACTTACCTCAAGATCAAACGAGGAATAAATAAGGAGAATAAGAATGAAACTCCGAGCAACATCGAAACACTCCACATGGATCAACAACTCGATTCAAGGCTTCTACTAACTTGAATCACAAATAAAACAACTTTGATGAAATTTTAGGAGAAAAATCACCTCACATAAGAAGATTTAGAGAAGGAGACTCACATACCAAAACACTTATCTCTATAATTTTTTTTCTCTATATATTTATGAAAAACAAAACATATGATAGAAAAACCTCAAATACCTAGTCCTCCAAAGTCAAATTGGACATCTACCAAAACAACTCCCAAAACCATGTAAACTTATAAAAAATCTTCAAATTCAAAAATAGCAACATGTAATTAATTAAAACAACAACCATACTCTACAACTCATAGTGTTATGATGGATATCACTCGTTTTTCTTATTTTCTTGCATATATGTATAAAAATAAACATGAAAGTCGCTATATAACAAAGACGTCCTTATTGAGTGATTCTTGACTAACGTATATTCAAACATGTAACAAAAAGCTGCAAACAAACTTTTGCTTGTAATTGATTAAGGTTGATACCCACTCAATTATAAGAAATTAAAGTGTCCTTGCACTATGTTACAAGCATGGTTGTCAAACTCGCGAGTCAACTCGTAGAATCGGATCAATTTGTTCACGTGTTAGTTAAAAACAATAATAATCATTGGTTTATTACCTTTGTATATGCCAGCCCTCACTCTCAATTTCGTGTTGGGCTCTGGCGTGATATCTCTCGACTTGAAGCAATTGTGGATGGACCTTGGGCCTTGATGGGTGATTTCAATGCCACTTTGCGTGATCATGAAAGACAGGGAGGGTCAGCTTCTGCAAACAGGCGTGGTGATAATGCATTTCGTGATTGTTTCTCCAAGTGTAGTTTGCTCGATATTGGGTTTCAAGGATCTCCTTTCACTTAGAAGCGGGGTGCGCTGCGTGAAAGGTTGGACAGATGTTTGGCTTCTTACGATTGGCGACTGGCTTTCCTTGAAACAAATCTCATTCATCTTAGTCCTCTCAAGTCAGATCACTGTCCAATTCTGTTAGAATTCGATTGCAGTAGACCTGTTAGGAGAGAGAGACGCCCTTTTCGGTTTCAAGCAGCGTGGCTCACACATGCGGGCCTTAAGGATGTGGTAAGGTCTCAATGGGCGCAAGGTATGGGTATGGATTGGAACTCTAGGATTGTGCACCTTACGCAGTCTCTCCAGGATTGGAATCGTAATGTGTTTGGCAATATCTTCTATGAAAATAGGAGATTGTTAAGAAGGTTAAATGGTATTGCTCGTAAGTTAATACATGAAGTGAATCCATTTCTAGAAGATCTACAATGCAGACTATGGCAGGATTATGAGACCATCTTGACACGTGAAGAATTGCTTTGGTTTCAGAAATCACGGTGTAAGTGGATTAAATACGGTGATAAGAACACTAAATTATTTCATGGAACGACTATCGCTCGACGCAGGAGGAACCATGTGACTATGCTTCAAAATGAGGATGGAGTTTGGGTGACTGACAAAGGTGAGTTGGAACACATGGTTACAAGGTATTATAAAGAGCTTTTCACTGAATCTTGCGAGTGTGCTCCCTTTAGCTTATCTGGTAACTTCCCCCTGGTGGATGAGCAATCTTGTCAAAGTCTGGGTGATCCAATTGACGACGGTGAAATTCTACGGGCTGTGCGTAGAATGGATGGCTATAAAGCACCAGGGAGCGATGGGTTGCAGGCTATATTTTATCAGACACAATGGGATGTTGTGGGAGCGTCGATCTGCAGCCTAATCCATGGGTTTGAATCAAATCCAACCACTATTTCTTGCGTGAATGATACTCTTATCACTTTGATCCCCAAAGTGGAAAATGTTGAAATGCTAAAGCACATGCGGCCCATAAGCTTGTGTAATGTTTCATATAAGATTCTTTCTAAGATTTTGGCAACTTGTTTATGTATGGTTAAGATTTGTATTATGACATTTTATTGTTGTTATTTGACTTATTTTAGACTTAGAATGTTGAAATAGTGATATCATATTGTGTGCGTTCATGTTTTTTAATATATTTTAATATTAGGTAGACTCTTACGAGTCTACGAGTCGAGTCTACCAGAGCTCCACGAGTTTATGTAGACTCTCGAGTTTGACAACCTTGGTTACAAGCAATTAAACGTGTTTGATATGCAAATAATTTGGCGAAGTCACTACATTTATATTAGAAGGGTAAATTAGTAAATTTATTTATTTTATAACTTTTTTCCTTT